TCCCCTCCCCCCGCAAAGAACCTTGTGCAGAGTGGCATTGGGTATCTTTTATTACAGTTTTGAATTGAATGCAAAAGACAATAGACTTCTGTGATATCTTAATGGAGAATTTTATTCCAGTGTTTTGAAATGCACACACATACACACCCTAAAACCACAGTGCAATAGAAACGAGATGGTAGGCTAGCCTGAGAAGTTGGTGGGTATGAGAAGCATATTTAATTCATTTTCTCTCTCTAAGTTTCCTCTTCAGGCCAGTATGTACTCACCGGCCACATAGGAAGAAAGCCTTTGTGTTTTGTTTTGTTTTTCTTTTTAGAACTCCCTGTTAAGAGTTTTTAAAATCTGTATGAGCCAAGGTTTGTGGTATTCTGTTTGTTTTTTAGGGAAGAATCCACAAATATATAGCACTTAAAAGTTTAATGAAATCATACATTCAAAAAATTATACCATCCAGACGAGTCCAATCTGGGATTTAATTTATTGCCTAATGTTTTGTGTTCATTGCACCTTCCAAAAAAGGTTAAATTTGAAATTTTATTAAAAAGTCCCTTCCTTTGAATTTATGGATTGAGGTAACTGTTTTATCTAGTTGCTGTGTAGAATTAGTATTTACTGGACAAGATGTGTTGATTCAGGAGGTTGTCTGTGGAGTGCTTGCCCCGGGAGGGTCATATTAAACTTGAGAGAAGCTTTTTGAGCAACATAGCATCTTGGAGACAATATATCAAGCTGATAGGTACATGGCTCTTGTGTTAAGAAACCAGGGGTGAAATTATAGCTGGTTTCCACTTATTGCTTTGATGCTAAGGACCCTCAGAGGAATAGGTCTAGGATAAAAGGGGTTAACCAAAGGGGAAAAAAGGTTTCCAGAATTCAGTGTTACTAAGAGCATGTAGAATGAATAGTTCTATGTCAATCATTTAAGATGACCACTCTGGAAATATTTTGGGATTTTGTATAATCATAGTGTGACCAATTTAATGGAGCACATTTTTTTGTTATCACCCCCCCAAAAAAAGGCAAGATACTTTATTATTATGAGGAAGCATCTTTGGGGCTTTCCTTTTTTGTTAACCACACAGTAATACAGCTTTTTAACACTGAAGTTTTGGTATAAATATTTAAAACTCTAATTTTTTTTCATGTTGATAACTTAGCATGAAATGCAGATTCAGAATTTGGATTGGCAGGGATGTTATATTCCCTGACAGAAAAATTAGACAAAAAACAGTCAAATAAGGTACAGTTTTATATGTTCTACATTATATGCAATTTGCACTTTACTTTTTGCCAGGGCTTTTTTTTTAAAATGTGTGCATTTGTTATAAATCAATTAAAGAATATATATCAAATAAGAAATCATCATTGTTATAACCAATCATGTTTGCAGATAAAAATATCAATTTAAAAATCTTTAGCAACGAATGCCCTTCAAACCAAAGATTTATAGTTAAGTTACTGAGTATCTGGCCCTGGACAGGACAGTCTCATTGTATTTCCTAGGTATGTTCCGTTTCTACAACCTGAGACAATGACCTCATACCATTTCTTCTCTCTTCAGGCATCCAGTTCACTCTTACGCTTTGGCTCAGTTCAGGAGCAGGTGCCTTTGCTTTTATTTTGCTCCCTGAGAAAACAGAAGTCATCCGAAGAGATCTTTGCTGTTTTCTCATCACTACATCTACCTCACTCTGCTCTGCAGCCTGGTCTGCATTCACTTCTGCACCACGGTGGACTGTCCCTGCTCTGTCCCACAGCCAGTGTGCACCAGCTCTCATGCCCTGGCTCCCTGCCTGCACACCCGCACGCGCACACACAAGGGGTTTGCTCTGGTGATTAAGTATATTTCCTTCTCTTATGTTATCTTTTCCCCCAGTCTCTTCTGGATCATTCCAAGAAGTATACAAATGCTGCGACCTCCCCCAGTTTTTAGAAAACTTTCCTCAGATACCTTAAGCTTGGCCAAGTGCTGCCTCGTTGTCTCCTCCCCTTTAGACCAGGACCCCTCAGTAGTCTCTAGGCTCACTCTGTCCTCTCATCCCCTTCCCTCTCATGTCTCTTCTTGGGCTTTCCAGAGTCAGACTGCCTCGCCCACCCTGCACTGTGCCTGTTCTTGGCAAGGTCACGTCCACTTGGCCAAATGCATAGCTTAACTCTTAGTCTTCGCCTTCCTTAAATTCAGCACATTTGACAGAATCGATCGGTCCTTCCTTTGGGAGATGCTCTCTTTTCTTGGCTCTCAGGATGCACCTTTTCATAGCTTCTCTCCTACCTCACTGATCACTCCTGTAAGTCCCCTCTGTTGCAAGGCCTCCTCCACCCTCTACCTCAGAATTTTAGTGCATCCAGGCATCAGTGCTCAGACCTCTTCCGCACTCACTATATCTACGCCCACCATTTAGTTCATTGCATCAAGCCTCAGCCATTAAATACCATATACATCAATCCGCCATTCCTACCCAGACCCATATCTGTAATCCATCTTTGGTGTAGCCACTAAAGTTGGGTAATATACCTCTTACATGTGATATGGACAAAAGAGAACTCTTTTTTGTTGTTCTGTTTGTTTGTTTTAGGGGTGGTGATTAGGTTTATTTATTTATTTTTATATTTGATGGAGGCACTGGGGATTGAACCCAGGTCTTCGTGCATGCAAAGCATGCACTCTACCACTATACTCTCCCGCCAAAGGGAACTCCTGATCTCCCCATAACCCGTTTCTCTCCTCAGTGTTCCTCCAGGTGCCATCCACCTGGGGCCGAGCACACTGGAATCATCCTTGACGCCTTTACACGCCTCACTCAGCTGAACCGCAAAATATACCACTCTCTCCGCTGCTGTCACTGGGACCTAAGCTACTGTCTTCTGTTAGCCTGGGCAGCTACAGCAGGTGCCTCTCCTATCGCCAGCCCTGTCTCCACTCCTCCCTTCGCCCAGAGTGGCCTTTATCAGTTTAGAGTCATGGCATTCCCTTTATTAGCAATGGTTCCCAACCCCACTTAGAATGGAATCCAAAGCCCTTATTGTGACTTTTAAGGCCCAGCCCTGGGACCCCTAGGGCTGTCTGTCTAGACCCTGCCTGTCTCTCCAGCCACTCTTCACTTTCCTCTTCTGGGTCCGTTTCAGCCACAGAGACGTCTTTTGACTGTTCCTGACGCTCAGCCAGGGCTTCCCCGTCCTCGCTGCCTTTGCCCCGACTGCCCTGTCTGGCTGGATCGCTGTTCCTCTAGACATTCTCCCGTCCACTTCCTTCTGTCACTGAGGGCTCTGCTTAAGGTCACCGAATCCCACGTGCTCTTCCTGTGGCTCTCCTAGCTATGGGAATAGTTGTGTGATAACCAAAATGCACCCTCCTTTTCATGTCTCTTCGTTTCCCCTGCTTTACTTGTCACCTGAGCGCTTACCGCCATCTGGTAGGATCTTCGTTGTCTGCTCGCTGCGTTCTCCCTCCGTTCCCGGAAGTTCCACAGGGTCAGGCGCCACGGCTGTCTCGCTCAGTGCTGTCATCCCTTCACACAAAGAACACTCCTTGCACAGAGGAGAGGCTCAGTAGGTGTTTACTAAAGGAATTTGTGAGTTATTGGTGAACTCGGAACCCTTACTACAGGCCAATGAGACATGGGATCTCGTTCTTCCATTCTCAGCACTGGCCATTCCGCAGCCTCGTGGTTCCTAGGCCGATTCTCCCGAATTGGAGAGTGGACGTCAGGTTATGTCTAAATGAAAGTTGAAAATGAACCCTGACAGTCGTTTTCCTTATTTTGATTCCTTCTCGTCCTCCACCAGTGGCCTCTACTAATCCTTGGTCATAAAGAGTTTCTAATAATCAAAATGTTCCTAAAAATTGCATTATAATAGCACTTAAATTATGCTAAGGGAAGTTCAGGTAAGTCCAATATAGTAACAACCATAGCTAACAATTAATAATTACCAGGCCCCCGAGCAGAGTGCTTTATTTACAGTGCCTCTGATCGTCACAGCTGTTCTGCAAAAGGCAAAGGTAGTGTCCCCATTGTAAAGACAAGAAACCAGCTCAGAGTTGTCTGGTGATTTTCCTAAAGCCGCAGAGTTGGGCTGAATTTGGTTTTGAGTTTCTGACTATCTTTGGAATACACTCTGATATGACAGGTTCCTTCAGGTTATATGTGTTGGAAAAATTAATTTAATAACCGGAGCCTTCTTGCTGATTTTTTTTAATAGGACAGGCTTTAGTTTCACTCATTTCTGTTAAGCCTTCTAGAGCTATCCAAAGAGATTTCCCTGATAGGTTATACCAAGCAAGTATGATGAATTCAGGAAGAATTTGCCAGAGATTCAACCAGACTAGAAAAGGGCTCTTCCCCAACTTGCAGTGTATCTGAACAAGGGCTGTGTCATTGTGAGGAGCGGCAACCAACTGCATAAAATTCACCAGGAAAGAAGCTTAGTTTTTATATTTTTATAGGTGAGAATTAAGTCTGGAATGTGCTACTTTCAGCCAGTTATGTATATTTTTATTGTAAAGAAATACAACATTAATAAATCTTTCTCAAAAAAAAAAAAAGTCAGTTGCATCCTGAGTAGCGATGTGATTAAGGAGACAATGGGTGACATCGATGGAAGGAATTAAAGATCAGATCGGGATCTCTTTCCTATTCAGTCGCTTGCCTGTTGAGCAAAGAGTTAAATTAAAAAGGTACTTCAGTATGTGCTTCACTAAGTCCCCTCCGTGTTTTCCATTAGACAAACAGAAGTACCGGTGGGGATGTGCTGCGTGTTCATTTGTCTTGCTGTTGGGGGCTGCCTCATAAGGACGGCAGTACTAATGTAATTGTGTTGAAATGAACAATAAGGAAGTAGAGTAGTTCAGGAATGAAAATGTTAAATTAAATGGACCATGTTTAACATTGTTGTCGATCCCGAGGAACAGTTTTTCCAGTATACGGAGCATTTCGATTCCATCCAGCATATGTTCTCCACGGTTTTCTCTGCTCTAATTCATCTGTGTTTTTCGACAGCTCCAGATGGCGTGCTGCCTCCGAGGCTTTCATCTGCCGCTCCAACCAGTCTTCAGGTTGTCTGGTCTACACCAGCTCGTAACAGCGCTCCCAGCTCTCCCAGATACCAGCTCCAGATGAGGCCTGGCGGCTCCAGCCGTGGGCTTCAAGAGTGAGCATTCTACCCCGTCCGCCCTCCTGACCGTCACCCGGGTTGTACAGCGTAGACGTGAACTCACTGTGTCTGAAATTGCTGAACAGTCGCAGGGCAGTTCTCTTTTGCAACAAGTAAAGCCCCCCTTTTGAAAGTGAGGACCCCTCCCCTGACAAAGCAACATCCTGGAAGATAATTATCTGCTTTGCAGAAATAACTATTTTTATTTTTATATAGCATCAAAATAAGATGTCTTCACCCTTAACTTTTCATAAGCACTTAGATTGCCAAAAGCAGGCATACATCCGAACCCCATAAAGCCTGCTGACTACGGCTACAAAATTATGAAATTTATTCTACAAATTCCATGGGGCAGCCATTCTCAATACTAAACAAAAGTTTATTCAATACTACTAGGATCTACATCTCATATAAATGCAATAATACAAACCCTTCGCCCAATGGCTACTTATTTTAAAAGAGATATCATGTGATGACAGAAAATTGGAGTACTGAAAGGTATACTGACATCCCCTGAAAATTCTTTTTGTTAATTTTTTTAAATTTTTAAAAATTCAAAAAAAATTTAAATTTATTTTTATCGAAGTATAGTTGATTTACAGTGTCATGTTGGTTTTAGGTATCCCTGAAAATTCTTTACAATAAGATTTTATTTGTTTTTTACTTCTTCAAGTGTCTAAAGCAGCCTAATTTTAACGTTTCTTTCAAATATAGATTATTTTCCAATCCTTCTGCATCGTTAAGCTACGAAGTGAGAGATCTCCAACCGTACACGGAATATGAGTTTCGGGTGGTTGCGTCCAATGGATTTGGCAGTGCTCATAGCTCTTGGATTCCATTCATGACCGCCGAGGACAGTAAGTGGTCTGAACAACACACAGCCAAATGTCCTCTCCACTAGGAAGTCTTCAAGCCTTCAGTTTTTCCAGAACAAAGAAATGAGCCTCCTCTATTTTCTTGGTGTTTGGTGACAGTAAGCTTTACCAGAACCAGAGTCGTCAGAGTCTCCAGAAAGGAAAATGTGGGCTTGGAGGGTTGGAGGGTTAGGCCGAGAGGCAGGAAGAGGTAACTCACTATAAATTATGACATGGCCCCATTCAGTCCTTTAGGGGACATCTAAGTGTCCTGAAAGAGAAAGGGTATCCTCTTATACTTTGTGACCGAATGTTATAAGTGTTCTCTGCAGAAGAACATAAGATACAAAGCTTCCTTTATCAGGATGCTTAGAGCATCATTACACCTTTTTCTGGAAACGGATTCCATTGTCCTTTCCTCATACCTGAAAGACAACCCCCAGAACAGAGGAGTGTAATCTGACGGCAGTGATCCTGCGTCTGTACAGAGTAGATTGCGATTGTTTGATTCAACAAATACAGAGAATTTTCTAGTTTTTCACAGAAGAGTTATGTTTGCATATATATGTTTTTACTAGAACATATGTCAAAAATAAATACATGACTGTAATACTTAGTTTTGTACAAATTGCCTCTAAAAAAGTGTACGTATGGAAGTACAACGTTTTTAGAAAAGTCAGAAATTAAATCAAGCTGCACAGAGTGAAGGAGGACATTGTATCTTTGAACAGTGAGGTTTTTAGGGTTAATCTTGTCAAGTCTTTTCATCAGAGGCTTCTTAGAGGATGTTGCTCTGTTGGCCAGCTGCCATTCTGGCTCTATATTCAATGAGGACTCAAGTGACTTTCAAAAGCCTAGATATTAATCTCAAAAGGCATGGTAGTTGAAACAATATCAACTGTATATTAAACAGGTTCTTTTATGTACACAGTATCCTTAATTATCTTATTTTAGTGAGAATAAGACATCAAGTGAGATTGAATCAGAACTGTCTACCTTGCTTAATGCTTACTTTATTTTTTTAAAAAAAGCCATTATGAGCAATAATACATAATACTTCATCCATTTCTCCCAATTCATAATTACTCCCAGGGAGCAAGTTAGGTACTTTACAAGGACACATCCAGTCCTTTTGTCTCAAGGGTACCATTTAGTAAATTATCAGCACAGTGCAATAAACGACACCCAAGGTCCAGAAAGCATTAATGCACCTACACCCCTTTTAGGGAGAACGTTACGTGCACTCTGGGGAATCTGACAACGTGAACACCAACTGTATACAGATTTATGAACGAGAGAGCTTACGCTCAGAACAGACTTTTGAAGAAGCATTTTTTAAGGAAAAAAACAGCTGAAAACAGATTTTTAATCTCCTTCTTACATATAACATGCTTGGTGGCGCTCAATAAAGGTTAACTAAAAATAATGATTCAGCCCACTGCAGAGGTGGAACGCCTGTAGAACGCCACAGTGGAAGAGGAGCAAACTGCCTCCTTTGTTTGACAGTCACAACTTCTGTTTCCGCAGAGAAGAGGGCAACACTTGGATTTCCCCAGCGGTGATCCTTATTGAACAGGGTTGAGCACACTTATCTCCGGCCTCAGCTTACCATGAAACAAGACTTACACACTTAGTGAAGTTAGAGTTTTCAGGCACAGAGCTACTGCCTTTTTTGTGATGTTTAGGGCTAGGGTTTGAAGTGAATAGTGTTAACCCTTCATCTTCCTTCATTAAGGATTAGTAACACTTTGTTATACAGATTAACTCACAACACCCAGTCATCGTTTTCATGGAAATCCTTTCCCTGAAATGGTTGACATCTTCCTCCCTCTGCTTCACCTGCAGACTGTGAAGTCAGACACATCAGCAAAGGGCCAAAGGCTGGGTGTTTGCCCCTCCAATTTAAGTTACTGGCACTTGCTCACCCCTGTGACTTGATGACAGTGTCCTATATATTTGGGGTGTCATTGGAGATGGATGCCAGCTCTGAAGGGATGTGCAATTGTGTTGACAAAGACTGAGTGATTGGCACTGGGTACAAGCAGTTTTTCTGTCAAGGCTTCAAAGCTTTGCTTATAAAACCACCCAGGCTGACAGCTCCGTGCCAGAGTCACACTTGATACTTGATCCTGACCAGCACCTCCCCTTCACCAAAGTGTAATTCCCAAAGTAGACATTCCACATACCACCTTAGAAAATGAACCAGAGAAGTCACCTCCTGCCCACATTTAAATTTCAGACCGTCAATAGGTGCCTTTCTGCAGCAGCCAAAGCCTCAAAACTTTCGGGTGCCCCCCAAAAAAGTCACCAATAGCAGTATTTTTAATGTGATGCAGTGGAGAGCGTGATTTTCATCAAGACTGTGACACGGCTGGAGACACTTAGGCAGGAAATGAACTCTGGCCCAAGAAACAAATGCTTGGGTGTAAAGAGAAGTTCTTGTGGACAGAGAAAAAGGCTATGAGGAATTTTAATAGATTTTTTCCCCAAATAATTTATCATTTACATCACTGTGCTACTGATCTCCAGTTCCATGCATTTTTAAAAAATCTAGTGTGCTGATGCCAAATAATAATAATGCCCATTTCCTATGAATATTTTAAATCCTGTTAAACTTGTGTTGATAAAGGATGTTTGTTCCAGCCAACTTGGTCAGTATAGTGTTCGACTGTTTACAACCAGGTAAATACAAACAACACATGATTTTTTTGTTGTTAACATGCTGTTGGCAATCCAAGCACCTATGCATGTCTGTGGCTTGTAAAAATGCACTAAGGTCGTATTAGACTGGGGAGCATGTGATTGATAGCATGAAGACACTTAGCGCTCCATTGAAATTTTTGCTATCTTTTCATTAGAAATAATTATCACTCTGGAGTATATTATTATTCCCTCTCTCTCAATGTGTTTACAGTTCTTTTCCAGGCAGTGTATGTATGTAGAAATGGTAGCTGGCTGGAAGGGATACTTTCTTCCAACTTTAGCTTAAATGGGCGATGCTCTTTTGCCTTATTAAAATCCTGCCCTATGTAAAATATGAGATAACCCACTTTTCTTTAAAAATGTGGATTCCCTAGACCAATGGAAGTCAGATAATCTGTTTTTCAGCTAACAAAATTGAAATATGGAGTATCTCTTTATTTCATTTTTTAACAACAAACATATGTTGTATACACAAGCCATTTGAGAAACCTTATGAAAATGAGTTCTTTTCTAAAAATCACTTCTCTACCTCCAAACCAAAGCAAAACAAAACCAAAAAATCAAATTGCTTCTAGAACTGATCATTTAGTTGTCATATATTTTTAAAAGACTAAAAATTGAATCATTCACTAAATTTGTAGTTAGAAATCCACATTTATATTTTAGCCACTAATCAAAGAGGCATTATTATACAAAATTTGTGGACTTTGAAGTTTATTCTGTAGATTTACTCAGACAGTTTTTTCATGTTTCATCATTTTCTAACAGACTGTTCATACGTTATGACTGGAGTATGCTGAATTTAGAAAGATGTGTCTAATTACCCACACAGTGAGCTTTTAAGTACTACTAAGACACTGTATTTATTCATTGAAATCGGACTTACTGTTAGTTTTTCCACACTTACAGTTGTGCTGTGAACAAAGGATGCAGCAGTGAGGGAATCAGTGTAGTATCTGGGCCTTGCTTTAATTTTCTCATCAGCATTTTTTGAGCATTTTTCCCATTTTATTCATCTTTGAGATTCTCATAGCCATTTACAAAGCAACTGTGGTTCTTCTGCAGTAAGACGGAAGGACAGTGCAATGTTAATTGAAATCTGTATCTAACAAAATACATTTCTGCTTTCTATGTTGTCTGACAAAATTGTACTCACCCATCAAGCCCCAGCTCAAATGTCACCTCCTCTGTGAAGCCTTCCCTCCTCACTGCTACCTTAGAATTTTGGTTTGTATTTACTTATGTACCATTAATATCTCTTTCTGAATTATAACTTCTCAGGACCTAGGGTTCAGTCTTGTTTACCTTTGCATATCTGGTGCCTAGTGGAGGGTGTGATATAGAGCAGGTACCCAAAAACTGTTAGTTGAAATACTGATTAAGAAGAGTTTCATGTAAGCAAATCCATGAAAACTCCACCAAGCACCCCTTGACTAGGTATCTGCCATGTAGGAAGGACTGAAAGAGATGTGAAAGTTACAAGAATGCATAGGGCAGTTTTCTTTACTTGAAGCATCCACTGTCCAGCAAGAAAGACATCTAGTAAAACCATAGAGTATTTAGAGCCGGGAGCAGGTCCGGAGCAGGAGCTTTTCCCTCCATGTGGAGCGTCAGGAGAGCCTTCCTGGAGGGGAACCAGGAGAGGGAACAGGGAATGAGTTGTGTTTGGAGATGACCTCAGTGTCAGATTTCATCACTGGTCCAGAAGAAGACGAAAAAAGCAATTGCTATAGGTGTCCACTGACACATGGGGCCAGGAGGACGTCTTGCAAGGCTTCCTGTTCGTGGTTCCAGCCTCTGAGTATGAGGCAAGAAGGGTGAAGATGAGAGGCAAATGTAAGAGAAGGAGATTCCGGAAGTGACCCTCATTTGTTGCCTTGGTCACAGGCAGCCTGCTCGTGTCCCTATGACTCAACATGAGCTGTCTTGACCAGGGTAATGAATGTTCTAATCAGAAAGTCCTCTGCTAAAAACCATGTGCTATTTCAAAATAAAAGGGGATAAATATACAGAAAGAGAATTCCAAAAGGAAAACGTGTTTTCTTCTTATTCTCACAACCTGTAATGAGTAAAACACAGGGTCCTTGTCACACAGAGGGGAAGTAAAACTGTGAAATGAAATTTGGTCAGTTGATCAGGATACTTCTAGAGCAGGATTTTCCAAATCATTTAATAAATGTATCTGTGCCCTTAAGAGTATGTAAGTTTTAAAACTAATGTTGCATGGGAAAGATCCTATTAGTAGTGTGTTTTAGAATTTAAAGTCAGCCTGCATTTTAAGAGTGTTCCATGTGAAAGAGAAACAGAAACCTTTTTCAGTGAGGATGGCACACCTTATATCTATAGGTTTTATTTAATGAAGAAATGTGAACTTTAAGTTCAGTGGTGCTAATTGATGGTTTTGATTTTCTGTTCCAAAGATGTTTTCTTAATTGCTTTAAATATTCACCTCTGAATACTGACATGTGTATCTTCTCACACAGTGATGTGGGTCTCTGTTTTACCCCCAACAGAAGATCCATGATGCAAAGTAAATCATTTAATCTGCTGATTTTCAGAGCAAAGTGGCTCTGTTTGCAGGTCACTACTTACTTTGTTTTCTTACATTGCATGGATTCCACCCTCCAAATTCTTGCATTTCCAGAAGTTATGAAAACAAATATTTATTATTATCTTTATATTCTCATTTTTATATCCCAAGATCCAAAGCTAAAAGTGACCCACAGAAAATCCTTTGAAAGGATAGGGCTTGATGAATGGACAGTTTTCTCCACTTGGCCTCAGTCTCCCTCTTGAGCTCTTGAATTGCGTGGGGCACTTAAAACCCACTGCTCTTCCAAACTTGGAATCCCCGGCTCTTTTAGGACTTTTTTCTGCCTTCATGAATTCTCACATTAACACATGTGATTTTCTGCCCCACACTTTCAGGGAAGAATCCATAGCAATTCACTGCACAATATGCCCCAATTCTGGAAGTCAAAGCATTCTTACTCACCTTCCTCTACTGTCCCGGTCTCAGGAGAAATAGAGAAAATAGTTCCCCAGTATTGGCTCACCCCCTTGCAGACTGTGAAATAGTATTGTTTCGGAGTCAACCATCTTCTAGTCTTCAGACGGTCTTTTTGTTAAGTGATGGTGCCATGGTGCACAGCCCTTTTCTGGTTTTATCAGTGGTCGGGAAGCTGAAAGTTCATATTTGTGCCAAAATGTAGTGCCTGTTCTTGTTTTTTGTTTTGGGATAGAATTGTATACCCTCTTCATTCCAAGATTAACATTTATCTTTATTTTATTTGTCCTATTATATAAGCCTTTTATTATAAGCTGTCAAAAATCCTTTTGGGAAGTAGTTGAGGTGTAAACAGTAAATTGATAAAAGAATTCACGATTAAAGACAGGATGGAATCCATCATTCTACTCTTCTGCTAACAGTTCAGTGTGACTATCAAAGGCCACATGAACAATTAGCATGGAATATGTTGTTCTCTGTCATGATACCTCCATATATTTGCCACCTTGATTTTAATTCATTGGCAAATTTAGAGGATATTCATTTACAGAGTTAATATTACAGAAAAAGGAGTATTTAAATCAAGTGAGTTTTTAATGAGAATGACAAATAATTGCTTCAAGGCAATCGTGAGAAAATACCAGGAAAACTGAGCAATCCTGGGCACCTCTAGTAGCAAACAATTTATAAAAGATTCATGAAAACCACTGAAAAAAATTATAAACATACTACTGGTGTGAGTCATTCGACTGCTCATTCACACACACACCCGCACGCACATA